ATTATTTGAGTTTTTTTCGTTGTTTTTTTTTTTTTTTTTTCAACGTTTATACATAAATATTCCCATTGACTGTAAAACAATGGGAAAATTACGCTTTATAATTGTTTTTTTATTTTTGCTTAAAAGGATTGGAGTTTGAAACCGTGTATCAAATATTAGTCTAATTATTACTGAATTTCTGCATCATTTTTCCCCTCCGGTTAGCGTCACTGTTGTGGGGGTATGAATCAGTTGCTTATAGCGTTGCAATTTTGGTTTATGCTACCATTACTGCGTGGTTGTTTGGTCGATTGTTATAGTTCTCCTTGCAAAATTGTTTATCAATCTTTAATTGATTGGCATTTTTGTTTTCACATATTGATATCTGACGTTATGTAAAAGCTTATCACGTTCAGAATTACAATAGGAATATCAGTCATGTAGTTAAAATTGAAATTTCGTTTTCAGCAGTTGCTATTTGAACGCTTGTTCTTCGAAAGTAAAGTACAGTAATAGCTAATATTGCAAGCACAATGAGTGTTTTGAATCATGGTTTTTATAGGTATTGTTCGTCTTTTGGTTGCAAGGGTTGTCAGGGGGCGCGTTGAGGATCGCGTACCACTGAGGTCGCGAAAAGTTCCTCCTCACCTTTGCGAAAACGGAAATGAGTGTCACTTTGGATGGAATACCGGATACGGAACAAGCGCACAATGATGCGCAGTTCAATGCGTTGAATCCAGTGAATGGATTTGTTTCTGGAAATCAAGCAAGAGAAGTTTTTATGAAATCTGGGCTTTCATTACCGGTGCTGGCTCAAGTATGGCAGTTAGCAGACTACAACAAGGTTCCCTTAGTAATTGGTTTTGATTTTGAATTACTTTGGCTTTTGGTGCAGGCAGATCCTTGTTTGGATGAATAATTTGTTTGTCTTGTATTGGAATAAGAAATTCAGTTTACAACTGAAATCTTTACAGGGAATTCTGCTAATATATAGTTCTATGGGTTGATATATAGTTCTATGGGTAAATCATTTATAAGATTATCGCCAGGGATCATCTCGTGCAATATGTTAAGTTAAAATAATTTTTTTCTGTGACCTTATATGTATTTGTTTGTTTTAGGATGGCAAAATGGATCGTTTGGAGTTCTCTATTGCGATGCATTTGATAAGATACGTTTTGAGCGGAAACCAGCTTCCATCAACTCTCCCTGATTCCTTGAAGGTTCTAATATTATGGAATAATTTTTTTCATTTAATAGTTGGTAACAAAATATCGAGAATGACTGGTTATTATAGTTCGGTTCTTGAATTTGTTACCTACCTATTTAAAACGGTTTCTAGTCATATCACTCATATTTATAATTATTTTTGCCATAAAAAATCAGGAATCTGTATATGAGTGATTGACTCATGTGAGATTCTTCGTTACTTTGATTAAAATACAAATTCTTTTGTTTTAAGCATTTCATTTTTAGCCTACGGCTTTGATACTGCGCATGGCAGGCGCTCCATCATCTGTTCATAACGCTGGAATCCGCCCAATCGCGCCTTTAATACCATTAGGTGCTCCAATTATGCCTATGGGCTCATCAAATTTATCAGGTCCACTTGTTAGTGGGATAGTGCCTCCAATCCCAGATACTTATCAGACTTCAAAACCTGCGGATATGTCTTCATCTAAAAAAGTTAAAACGGACTGGGCCATACCTCATTCGGAGAAGCTGAAATACTGCCAGCAATTTAATCAACTTGATAAACAACGGAATGGTGCTTTAAACGGTATTCACGCAAGAAATGTCTTGGCGCAAAGTCAGCTACCAAACGTAACATTAGCTGAAATATGGAACCTTTCTGATGTGAATAAGGACGGTCGTCTTAGTGTAGAAGAGTTTTGTATCGCAATGCACCTCATAGATTCTGTAAAAGTTAGTTTCATTTTCAACTTTGTAAGATTTGTTTAGTCTTTTAAAAAATGAATATTTCCACCTTGTTTAATGAATCGGCAGAAGAAATATACGCTGTAATAATGGGACCAGCTTGTATTTTTTTATTCACTCTCATTATACAAGTGTCTTCATTGCGATTTTAGGCGGGATATACTTTACCAAAAAGCCTGCCGCCGGAACTGATGCCTGCGGTTGTACGCATGAAAAGTGAATCGCCTATATCTGAAGTCGGTGCTTTGCCGGCTCAGAAGATAACAGTTCCTAAGACCTTTGAAGACAAAAGGAAAGATAATTACGATAGGGGACAAGCAGAACTTGATCGGAGACGCCAAATTTTAAAAGAACAAGTTAGTACTTTTTGATAGGAATTCGTTAGTATGAGAGTAATAGCAAAAAAAATTTTTTTTTGTGAAGCCGTCTCATGTTATCTTCCTAATTCGATCAGGATTCCATTTTTTCAGGAGGATAGACGTATTGCTGAATTGGAACGGAAAGAAAGAGAGGAAGCTGAGAAACGAGAGAAAGAACGTCAAGAAGCGGAGCGGAAGAGACGACTTGAAAGAGAAGCTGAACTACAAAGAGAGAGAGAGCGTGAAGCCGCTAGGTTAGCGGAAGAAAGGCGAATTGCTGCAGAAAAGGAAGAAGCTAGAAAAGAAATGGAAAGGCAGAGGAAAGCTGACCTGGATGCTTTGCGAATTCGTGAAGCCACGGTAAATTGATGTTCTAGAGGTTTTTCACAAATTTCCTGTTGATGACGCAGGCTTATTATTTTTGATGGTTCGTTTTAGGCAAAGCGACAAGCCGAAATTGACAATACTGCTGAACGTCAACAGAGGAAAAAAACTTTATCATTCCAGCTACAGGCATTGACAGAGCAATCTGGAGAATTGAATTCTAACATCACATCGGTTGCTCTTACACACATAGACTGAAACTTGTCATATTTTTTGAATGGAAACAAAAGCACTGTATCAAATTTGGGGCAAAACGTCTTATACATACTTTTATCCTAAAAATTTTATGAAACCAGCAGGAATGAGGGTTCATCTATTGTCAAGTCGTTGTATAAGAGTTATTTTTTGCTGGTAATTGGGTTATCACCTTATGGGTTAATCTTAGCTACTCGTTAATTAGGATAAAAAGTTAAGTTTAGGCTCGTGAACGGATTGTTGCCATAACCAGAGAGATTGAACAAATGAAAGAACAGAGAGATAAGAAGGTTGCTCGGATACGGCAACTAGAAACAGGTGTTCGTGAGGCAAGTGAATTAAACTCTCAAATTGAATACTGTAATGACCATTTTTTTGTTTGCTTTTCTATATGGTAAAATTTTAGCTCAGTGTACAGTGCGAACAGTTGGCTCACGAAGGATTGCAGCTAAGAGTAAAGTGTTCCTCAGGGCGTGCTCAGGAACTAGAGAGTATTCGTACGCGTGCCAATGTGCTTCGCGAAGACTTACAGAAAGTTCGCGATGCGCTGTTAGCTGCTGAAGACAGAGCAAAACTTCAGCAGCAGCTAAATTCCAAGGTAATTTTTTGCTGTGCCATTCGATGTAACTTTATCATGATATCAGCGCATTTGCACAACAGTTCATAGTACTTTCAACCCAATTATCCTTTAAAAGTACAGATATCAGCAATAGAAGCAATCCTGATTTTCAGAAAAAACTTGAGATTGAAGAATTTCATAGTTACTTACAACAAGCATCTGGTACGCATGCAAATTTCCGCCAAGAAATTAAAGCTCTACAACAAAAAGCGATTGAGCTCATAAGAAAGCGTGAGCAAGAAGCTAAACAGCCTGTGGCTACAGTTGCGTCTCCTACAGCTACCAAAGCTGCACCTTCTCAAAACACTTCTGTTAATGCTCAAGGTGTGTTTTGTCTTAGTTTCGTTTTCTTTTTGCAAATGAAGTTTATCATTCATAATTTTAGATGTTGCGACAAGTGAAAACAATGCTAACGCAACATCAGAAAGAGATGTTAATACAGGCTTGTCGCTACCTACAGCCGGAACTGGTACTGGGGCTGTAAAATATAGAGCGTTGTATGAGTTTAATGCTCGAACAGGTGAACTGCTATTTCTACCCCTATCTTTAAACTCTCGGACTTTTTACTTTTCACTGCAATATTTTTTAATCACACTATTGAATTTTAGAGGACGAACTAAGCTTTCAACCTGGAGATATTATTCTGGTGTTTGAAGGTTATGCTGCAGAGCCAGGTTGGTTAGCTGGTCAAATGAGAGACAAAGTTGGCTGGTTCCCTTTAGCGTTTGCAGAACCAATTGCCCCCATCACTGCTATATCAGCTCAGGTGTTCTGGATATTTAATATTTTTTCTTCATAAGAACTTATATCTGTCTCAAAAATAAAAACCGCTTTTTCATAGTTTGGCTTGAAGGAACGGGATTTTCACGTTGGCTAGATAAGTAGTGGTGAAGCAGAATTTGAGAAAGCGGTAAATAGAAATGCAACAATTAAAATTTAAAAAAAACTCACTGAGTGTTTGCAGAATATTAAATTTTCAAGATGGTGCTTTGATGGTGGTACGAGTTACGGTAAGACTGATGGGACTAGGTTGCTTAAAGCCCTTATCTAGTGCATCTGCGAGTAACAGTGCTCTGATGAACTGTTATTACGCAATAATATGCTTCACTCCGACTAAATGACTGGCCGATATATGATTAAAAATTTTTTTGCTGTTGAGTAATTCAAAAAAATTTTGAGGGAGAGCTACAGTAGTTACCTCTGCATTCACGGCGTATAGTTTTCTTACTCAACTCTCGACTTGAACACGTAACACTCAGTGCTTACTGCTGACAGCGACCACCACTTTGTTATAATGCTCCCAGCAACGCTCTAATTTGTGGGATTGCTAAAACTGTGTAGTTGCGGTTCGGAAGAACATTTAAGGACACCTTCAGACAGATAAGCAAGCCACACTATTTAGCCGCTCAAAAGTTATGTGAAAAAAATTTTGCTTTTTTTTTTTACATGTGGTAGGGTAGCCGAACGCTTATTTTGACAGCAGCTGCTATTTTTTTGTTTGGAAGAAAAGATGCAGTTTCCAGAATGGCAACTTCTTTTTTGACAGGACTCATGTAACAAGAAAATGGGAAAAATTAAATCTTAATTATCAAAAATGCAAGTGGGGGCTGTGTGGAAAGAACAGCAGTCTGCTTTTTTGGCAGAGCGTTAAAAAATCTCTCATAGAACTCGATTTTGAGTAAACTTAACAAGCGTATAGAAGGTATATTTTTTTAACACAAAAAAATGCTTGAAACAGTGTAATAAAATAATATTTGCTGTCAGCAACCAGTACAGCATGCCAAACACAAATAAAAGTTTACTGAAGAAGCGATGGGATGTAAGTGCAAAAACTATTATATTTTTTATTAAAACCTTTTTAAAATTAAGTAACAGTTGGGGAAATATCTGTTACTGAATTAGCCGGAATGAGACATCTTACAGTATGGTAATTGATGGTAATAAATTAGTCGGATCTGAAGCGATGTCAGTTGCATAGCCCGTCAAAATATGCAAAGAAATGGAAATTTTCTGGGGCTTTACTGCATTAATCTTTTAGTAATTCGTGACTTCGTTAGAATATTGGCCTTCATTTTCAGTGAGTTGTACTTTGGTTATATATAGAAGAATACTTTTTTTTTGGGGGGACCTAATGACGTCTTTTTAGACTTCATGTTTTCAGTTTTTGCTTTCGTCTTTCTTGCTTTTTTTTCCTGCATACCCGTTTTAATACTTTCGTAAATCTGCGGAAGATTACATTCTATATAATGTAAAGTAATTTGAAAATCCACTGTGAATGAACAAAATTATAATCCCCTAAAATGATCACACGAAACAAAAATTACGTTTTTCCTTCATGCCTCATTGCAATCTAACTTTGCCACCAGTTTACTCTTATAAGTACTCTCTTTTAATTCCATAGTCGAGGACCAAGTCTTGCAAGTTAACAGAATTTTAAAAACTTTCAGAAGCCATCTGAAAAGGTGTGCCAATTGGCATGGAGCGATTTATTTATATATATGATTTACATGTAATTTTTGCTTTTATTACCCATTGTCAGTTTTTAAGCCACCACAAAGCGTTTCTTCTGTTCCAACCTCCCCGTCTAACGAGCGTTTACAAAGTATTATTGAAGAACCTTCCGTAACAACAAAAAGTGTTTCTCCAGAAACATTACCAAGCCAAGGTAATGTTTTGAAATTTGTGACAGCGATTTTGGTTCTTTTATGCAGAAAACATGTCTTTTTTGCTTTTTTTTAGTAGTCATAGACATTTTCATTTAGTGACCGAGTCACCCACTACTGCTGATGGTTCACAACCTGTAATTGGTAAGGCAGTGGCGCAGTATCAGTGGAAGGCGAGAAATGATAATGAGCTTAGTTTTTCGAAGAATGATGAAATTGAAATTTTGGAGCAAGTGGAGATGCGCTGGAAGGTCTAAAGAATTTTGTAATAGTTTTTTTCAGTTTTTTTAAAGCTCTTAACAAACTTCGTTTTTAGGGGCGCCTTAGTAATGGTCGAGTTGGGTGGTTTCCGAAGTCTTATGTGAAAATGATAGACAGTGACAATAATGCCACTGAAGTGAAAGGGAACGATTCAAAAACGATAACTAAGGCAAAAAGTGCTTCTGTTGAGTCAAATAAGCCGACAGCTGCAAATGCTAACCCCAATGTCTACGACGCAGTGACAGGTCTAAAGCCTGCTATGTCGAAGGCTCATGTTCTGCTGACAAACATTTTCTTCTTATGTTTATTTAAATTTAAATTCATTTTGGGTAATGTTTTAGTTGAATCCCCATCATCCGGAAGTCGTGGAGAGTGGTGCATTGCATTATATGATTTTCAAGCTTCTGAGCCAACTGATCTCGACTTGAAAGCTGGTGACAAAATATGGGTTACTGAAGCTGTAGATGATTGGTGGAAGGGCACTTGTAATGGTCGTAGTGGAATATTTCCTGCCAATTACGTCCAAAGGTTTCCTGATGCTGATGTTGTTAAAGCTGGTATTAATTTAATTTTCTTGAAATACTTTGCATGTTTTGGTAATAACCGTGAATTTTAAACATCTTTAGTGACTTAATTTGAGGACAAATAGCTTAGATTTACTGATAGTCTTTTTGATAACATTTAAAGTAATTTTTAGAAGAAGGCGATTTTGGAATTGGCAAAGCGGTAGCAGCGTTTCAGGCTACTGCAGGAAACCAACTTAGCCTGCACATTGGTGACATGGTAAAGATCTGCAGTAAATCACCTGCTGGATGGTGGCAAGGCGAAGTATGTCGAGTTCTGTTCAAGAAACCTTAATCAAAGTTCTAGTATATTCCTTTTTTTTTTTTTTTTTCTTGAGATTAGTTAATTAGTTCATAAACTTTTTACAGCCTTTTGCAAGCCTTTTTTGTAGCACATTTTGAAGATTGAAAGCTTTTGTACGCTTTTACTTTTTAAAAATTATTATGTTGATTAAGTAGTTAAAGTAGATGTAAGATGCTCTTACTATGTTTCTTCTGCGAAATTGGCTAGAAATTTTCCTTTTTTGGGATTGTAGACTTATGTTTTAAGAATGCTTTTTGTTGCTGCTTTCTTCACTACCATTTCTTATCTGTACACGAGGGCTAATTAAACATATATTTAAGTGAATTGTTGTCAGGTATTATGTGAAGTCGTAATTTTTATCTCACAGTTGTTTTTAACAGATGATTACAAACAATGGAACGAAGAAAGTGGGTTGGTTTCCCGGAAACTACGTTGAACTGCAAACAGAAGAAGAAGTACTTTCTGAAGCGCTTTATGATTATACAGCCCAGAGGGATGATGAATTGTCCTTTGTTTGTGGGGATTTGATTGTGGTTACAGACCGAAGTGACTCAGAGTGGTGGAAGGGCCACTTGAAAAAGGCACGAGATGCTGGTGATGCACTTTTCCCAGCAAATTACGTTCGCGTTAGGTAAGGCAGCGTACCTGAAATTGTATGATTCTAATATATTTTTTTTATTCAAACTGCGGCCGCTACATTATGAGGGAGTATTGGTCTTTTAAATTTGCTTTTTATTAAGCAATATTCCGCGTTCGCAATAAGCCTTTTTTTACACTACTTATTTTTATTTTCTGTTTGAATAAATTATCGATTCTTGTTTGCTCTTCTGGTTTTACCAAACGTTTTCTGTGACTTTTTTTTTTGTTCTGTATGCCACCGGTTAATCTTCATTAAAGTTCCCTAGTTTAGACCCTCATGAGTTGTTATGCTGTAGCTTGGGAAAAGTTTGTTTCTCTAATTTTTAATGGCCGAATTTGTAATCATTGTTGGATTTTTCTCTAACTTGTTTTTGCTGACATTTTAGCTGTATAACTGTTTACTTGAGCAATATATTTTTTATTTCTTCAGATATTTGTTTGTCTTGATATTCTTCACTTTGGTGCTTGCAGTTATATGAAAATAGCGGTGCTTTTTGTGTACTTATATTATTATCTTTGGCATGATTATTCGAGCCATGATATTCTTCTGGTGCGTCGCGCAGTTTATTCTATAGTAGCGTACCTGTTATGCATTATAAAAAACATGATTGGCATTTTTCCCCTCTATTCTTTCAGACTTTTTGAAAACATTTACCATTTACTTTGTAAAGTGTGAATGCATTAGCCAATTTGAGTCTCGCAGAGGTTCTTTTTGGATATAGGGTGCTTTTTTACTGTTCAGTTTGGCGAAAGCTGACGTTGTTTTAACAGATCTGCACTTCTGGGAATTTCCAGAACTTATTAATTTATTGAACAATATGCTGTTTAATTTTATTTTCTAGATTTGTTTTTTTATGTATGGTAGTAAAAGTGTTTTGTGTTTAGTGTTGTGGATAGTGCACGCAATGATACAAGGGAGACGGCGGGGCAAGGGACTTCAGAGGCTAGTAAGGCTACATCTACATCTTTCAACGAAGATTATTCAGTTACAAACTCAAAACTCAAGAAACTTACTGAGGTATCTGGTTACCCTTTCCTTTTATTATCTAGAAGAGAAGTCAGATGAGTTCAAAAATTCGCTGTTTAAGGGCTTCATATATGGTCATCTTGCTACCGGTTGTTTGGGGGAGGCTAAATTTTCGAGGTGTCTTAGGTACCGTAACATGAGAAATTGGACAAGTTTTATGTTCCTAATACTTGACTATAATACATCATGGAGAGGTCGTCCAGTTATTGCATTGGACCTGGGGATTTGCATTTTTCCCGCTCGTTTACTTACAGTGACCTTGTCATTGGATTTTTTAACTCTTATATTCACTAACGCTCAAGGTACAGATCCATCGCAACGTTTTTGTAGTTAAAGTTATTTTAATTAGGAGTTGTATACAACGGAAATGCGTTTCCATCATGATCTCAGAATGTGCCAAAAGCTTTTCGTTGTCAATTTGGTCCCAGTTATTGGCAAGGAGGTGAAAAACCAATTGTTTTTGAATCTTGATGAGCTGGTATCTATCTCGGCCGAAATTGCCGAAGCTTTAAAAAAAAAACTACCAGGTTGGCTCAACAGACATATAATCTTTTTTAAAACATTACTGTTATGCTTTGGGCCAAAACTTGTTTGATTGTTCTGAAGTGGTCAGCATTTACTCTATGTTTTTGTCCTTCATATTTTGAGGCTTCAGCAGAGCTCTTCTGGAAAGTTCTGAATACTTGTTTCAAATCTAGCTATTTTGAATCTGAAAAGTGAAATCTCACAATTTGGGGCTTTTGGACCCGTAGTGTTTTGTTTCGGTTGTGGACATTAAGGCTGCTAACATTTTAGAACGGTTTTTCAAGCATCTTTTCAGGGACTGTCTTCATTGAAAAAAAAAATCTTTTTCATGCTTATGTGAAGTTCTGTTCTAATCAGCAACGTGCCTTGGAGTTGTTGAACGACCTTGAACTGAATAATCTTCCCTTCAAAAAAGTAATTTTTTGCATTGTCATTTATGTGTAGTCTTTCAAAGCATTATTGTAAAAACTCTTATCGACATATTTTCGCAACTTTTAGGCCTATAGGAAAATCTGCGAAAATCCAGAAGCAAGAGGGCTCAATCTGAGCTATCTAATTTTGCTGCCTATGGGACGTATTACCAGATACCCACTGATTTTTGAAAAGCTCATCAAGTATACTCCGAAAGAAAGTCCCACACTTAAGGTAATCTTTGAACAACTGACTTGAAACCCAGTAAAACTTTTTTTTTAAATCTCATCCCATAATTAAAGTTTGATGCCGTTTCCTACCTGTCATCTGGTGTCTTGCCTTGGGTAGTAAGCGGTATTTTGAATAAGTTAAACTTTTACAGGATTTGAAGACTGCTTACCAATTACTGAAGGCTCGCTGCGCGGAAGTAAACAATGTAATTACTGAAATGGATAATGCTGCTATGTTACTTTGGGCACAACAGCACATCCAGTGCAGTTCACTTAAACCTGCTCTTGTTTTCCCATCTCGGACTAGGTACTTTCCCTTTATACGTTAGAACAGCTCGGAGATAAACGATTTTTTGAAGTCTGTAAAAGACACTTGTTTATCTTTTTTGATAATTATTAATCTTTCCTCCTCGACATTCTTTTATTTAGGTACGTGGGACCTCGACAACTTCTTCATGCTGGAGTTCTTTTCAAACAGCGAAGTGGACGTGCACTTGTCGCATTTCTTTTCAATGATTTCATAATGCTTACAACACCTGCAGACCCTGTTGAGAAGGTGAATAACATAATCACTAAAAGACATTAGTGAAACTTAAAATCACTTCTGCAGCTGAAGAACTGTTTACAGCTCTTTCAATATTTTGGTACTTAGATAGAGGATCTCAAGGTGACCAAACACTTGGACATACAGTTGAACCTGTACAAAACTCCGTTGCTCCTAAATGGTTTAACGGTCATGTGTAACAAAGAAAGCGACGAAAGCACTTTTTCTCTGAAATCAGGTTCTCTTTCTTAAAAGCTTATCTATTTCTTAAAGTAACTGAATTTCAACCAGTTTTGCAAAGTGCATTTTCTAAAGACATGACCGTTACCGCTTTACGAGCTCTAAATCGAAATGCGAGAGTACTCTGGATATCCCAAATAGAAAAGGCAATGGAGAAATATCACCAAGAATGTAGCAATTTGAAGGTACCTACTGCGTCTATCGCTTTTTTCTTCCATAATACTACTGCTGTTCGGTGGCTACACTTAAAAGATTTGAAAAATTTCAGAGGAAGGTAACCGATGACGTAGCATCTGTAGGCTCTTTACTGGTAGAATTGTCTTGCGTCAAGAACTTTGAAGTAGAGGAGCAACCCAAGGGGGAACGAATTTTGGTTTGTAAAATGGAGCTTGACGGGACAAGGACGGTTTCAGAAGTAAATGTAAAAAGTGAAGAGAAGTATTCAACTCAACTGCCCATCACTTCAACAGATTCAATCTTTACGATTTCGCTTTATATTCCACGTCTTTACTCGCCAGATGTATGTATAGGTATGTTGAAAATCTTCACCTATTGCGTCTGGGACTGTTTCAAACAGTCTTCTTCATGGGCCAAAAAGCAGCCAAACAGCTACTTTAGTAAAACAAACTGTTTGATTGTAGGTGTTGGAAACGTGTCTGTTAAAGAGCTCTTGTCACAAGCTGCCTCGCATAGAGGTCCAATGTCACAGACGGTTAATCTGACTGGTGGCGAAATGTCTTCTGCTCATCCTCTAGTTGTACTCAAATTTGTTGTACAGATGTTTATTGAATAGTTTCTCAGTGTTGTGAACGCGGCTCTTGCCGTTATTTTGCTTATTTCTCAATCCATTGTTTATTCTAGTCTCCCAGACACCCATGTCGTTTCCCTTCTCACTCATTTTCTTTTACTCTTAACTAAAATGTTCATGCTTTTTCCCATCTCTAAAACTGAAAAATTTTTGCTCCTCAGTAGCAATGTCAGTGGCAATAAAATGTAAAAAACTCCGTCCTAAATAGTTTCTCCGAAATTTCCGTAGTACGGTTTATTACTCATTAACTTAATGATTATATTACTCTTAGTATTCTATCAAAGTAAATGAAACTGTGTTAGTAAATACAAAAATGTTTCTTGAAACCCAAACAGAGGGAAAAATTTAATGAAGGAACTTACTCCGCTCAGAATGCTTTTAAAAAAACCATGCACAAAAAAGAAATCTTGAAAAGCAGCCAACTAAATTAAATAGTTATAAGAAACACCCAGAAAGATTGTTAATTACATTTTTTGGTGCTTTACTTGTGAATCAAAACTATTCCATGTGAATAATAAAGTGACCTGGTTTTAAAGAAACCGGCCATTTACTGGACTACGGACTGAAACAACATGACGAATTTAATGTAAGAGTCAATTACTCACCTCACCATCACCAAAAAATAAGAAAAAAAAGTGGTCAGTTGGTAAATGGTACAAAACCTGGAGTAATTGAAGGTTCAGTCTTTCAAAATAATAGCAATTAGTCAGGCCGATCCAGAAAGACCAACTATCCTATCTATTTCATGCGAAAGTTTTGTCAAGTCTGATGGTAAGAATGGCTTCAGTGAGTTCAACGAAAAATTGTTCAGTACAGAATGTAATTCTTCGGGTGTCGTAGCAACAATGCAACCACAACTTGAAAGTCGATCTGCCAATTCTCGTTGGTGATCATCCATCAGATTACAGTTAATTACACCGACAAATGGCTTTGAGAGACGCAGTGCTTCCAAACAAGTACCAGCACCTAAAAAACTACGCAATGTTAATATGCTTCAGGAACAAACTTTTATAACTTCCTGGAAACGAAGGATTAAGCAGCACTGCACTGACCAATCGTAATTAGCACTGTGCTTCGGCTCACTGAAGTGGGTACTTCGTTCAGACCTTGCAAACAAGAACTGAGATAGTGATAATGACAAAAAACAACGCCTAGGATCACCATAAAACATGCGGCAGTGCAAGCACTGCATCAAAAATAAAAGTGGAAAAAACTCATTTGGAGAAAAGGCTGATAACTGGAGAAGATATCTTTTAATTTCCACACTCTAAATCCAGATTCGACTTTTTTCATTCAGAGAACTAATTGGCAGAAGTAAGATACTGGTTTTGCCTCGACATAAACGTATATAACCTAACTCTAACGGCTAATTAGACCATGAGAAAATTAGACAAACAGAAAGCAGCATTTCAAAAAAGAATTGAGAACTACACTACCACTTTCGAAAAAATAGTGTGAACAACAATAAACACAGGTTTTTCAAGATAAAACATTGTCCCTACAGGAAGATGTTATAAATGAAGAAAAGCTTAGTGAAAGCTTACTGTTTACCGTTCAAAGTAAAGAATATAAGTAAACAACGACACCGTAAAGTAACAGAGGGAAAAATGGTAACCTGTGATAATTCTGTAAATTCAAAATATACTAAAAATAGAAATGAAGAAAAATTTATAAGTAAAAAGGACCAACCAGCATGCCCAATAATCAACTGTGAATTTTCCATATCACTCTGAATTTGGTTTTTGTACTTATACAGAATGACGTTTAAGCCGTTTAATTCTTTTGAACTGCCATCTTTTTTTTGAAAACCAGGAGGAAGATAGGAACCTCGGCCACACTGTGCCACGACTTCTGTTATACCTAGGTTTTTCAAGGCCCTACAGGACTCTTCAGAGAGTACTGCTTGCACAAGCTCATCAAACTGTGTTGTGCCAACAGTAACAAAGCAGCGCATCCTCTGGTTCGCTACCCAAATTATCCTAAAATGGGAATCACAAGTTTCTTAAAAATTCACCGTCTTATTCTATGTGTTGTACGACAGCCCTGAAGAATATGTGACAAAAATTTGTGGATTCCGTTGTCATACGAAAAAAGTTTTGACTAGACTGGATAAAACTTCACCTTCCGCGACTTACATTCTTTCAGACAGTTCAGTATAATGCACCTACTGTACAAAACCCCTTTTTCCACTTAATCCTCTCTTATATATACATGCCCTCACCATTAACTTCTAAGATGCGTGATGAGTGTTGAGGTGACATCAACAGATTGGAACCAAAAATTCTAGCACCATCACTGTCTTCAAAACCGATAATGACACCAAACATTTTTGACAATACCGTGTCCTGTACGCAGTATTTAAATCAGTACAATACCATCTTACTAAAATGCAGCCCATTCATTACGCTGTTCGAGAAATATGAAGTTAACAGATAAACGGAAGCCATCATTTCACTAGAAAAACCCTTCCTCCAATACTAACAGTTTTGTTCGCAAAACGAAGAAGACAACCAGTTGTTCCCGCTTATTAAATCATCATGGCATAAAACAAATCCTAAATTGAGCAATACTAAAGAAGCAAAAGGTTTACAATGAAGCTAAATGACTAACGGTCAAAAAAATTGTCAACACCTTGAAGTAAGATATGTAGCACAAATTAGGAGAAAAAAAAATAAGTAAGCGTTTACCCCACTAATTTTTCAGTTGTTTCACACCTTCAGATCCGGTATCGTAAGAAAACGCAAATTGATACATGTAAAACAAATATAAAAAAAAATTTATACATATAACATACTTATATCTACACACATAAATTTTTTTTTAGTTATGTATTATACGTCTTATCCCTCAAAATATTTTTGCGTCATTTAGTGTCAGTTAATTTTTAGCTGTAAAATATATGAAATAATTCTTGAAAAGATAGTTTATTTCTTTACACTGTTTATTCAACAATGTTCATCGTTAGCAGTTGCAGGACTAACCTATTACTTAGTGCTGCCGTCAGTTGGCCGGGACTGCGTTACCTGACTTTTTTTTTTTATTTGTTACTTTTGAAATAATTTTTGCTTGTGGTTTTTTCAAAAATCGTTAATACTAAAACTGGAAAAGAGTGGAATTGTCAGGACATGTTAGGTGAGTTTCTGTGTTTCAACGCCTAGAAGTGATAAAACCTATAACAGTATTGCGGTATGTTTTTTTCTTTTCGTTCTATGATTCCCAGATTTTGATGACGAAATTGAAGCTAAAAAATTTTTTCAATGGCTTTCTTTGTGTGGTTACTTTAGATTTCTTGCTTTGCTAGCTGTTCCTCTGGCAGTTGTTCAAATAGAATAGTAGTTTGCTAGACAACACCGCTTTTTTAAGGTTACAATCGTCTGAACTGCTTTTGGCTTTTTTCTTTTAAATTTTCACGTTTTCTCTTTTAGTATTCTTTTCGCATGAACTTTACGTGAAAGTGATTTTTCAATCTACTGTAGATGCTAAGGGCAACTTTAAGTTGCGTTTTGTTTGATACGCTGTCACTTCCTTTCTCTGCTGGTGCAGTAACAAAGTCCACACGGGTTTAAACATTAGCAAGCATTTGCGACATTTAAGGCGAAATATATGCTCAGGTAGGGCGCGATATTGCTGACGATTTTGATTCGTAAAGCTTTTACTTCAAATTTTATTTAGAATTCAGTGCTTCTTAAATTATGTCGGGTTAGCTTACAAATTCTTTTCCTTTTTCTTACACCTAATGAAATCCCAAAGGTTTCCGGCAGTTACTTTCAGAAAGGATTGAGGTCAATTTTTTGCCATCTACACAGTGGGCTGAAAAAGCCATTTTGTATCCCCTTCATCGAATGCAGGAAGTATTACTTAGTTGTTCAATGGAAAAAAGGCTGATCTTATCACTTATCTTATCACTTATCACATTGACTACAGTGCTTTTTTGACCTTTTTCTCCTTGAATAACAATCGGCAGGCATTTCTTTTTCAATTTTTTTTGTTTTGTAAAAAGAATTGGAGGTAAGGAATAGAGTTTATGCAGAGAGCAGAAGTTTTTTAAAGTAAGAAGAAGTTGCAGATACACAACATTTTGATAAAATAAAGCCTGGGGTTGGAGCTGTTCCAAGTCCTGTGACTGAAAAGTTAGTGACAGTCATGTCTTTCAGGTCGTTACGGAGCTAATCATCCAAATAAGATTTTATAGATATTTTGATCTTTGAAAGTGGGCCTCATTTTACAGCTTATGCCCGTTGCAGGTTATACAAGCTATCAGTTACTATGGGTCCTGCAATAACCCACGATTTGTTTTAACTTTTATCATTAGGAATGACATCATAACTCTGTAGTTTCAATTCGAACAGGTACTCCCAAAAAAACATTCTTTCAGCCCTTATTTTCTTAATACTTAGTATGCACTTCTGTATTATCGGAATTTGAAGGATTTTTTATAGTGATCTTCAACTTCCTCGTCTGTTATTTTCAGCAAGCTCTTTGATTGAATTTTTTTCAGTCGTACTTTGTTGTGCGCAGGTTGCTTATTCAGTTCAATGCTTAACACTCATTTTTGTGTTGTAAGTAGAACAGTAAAGCTGTGTTGCTGGAGTAGTGCTCCTTCTTTTCACATTTTTCACTTCACACATTATTTGTTGAAAGACATCTGCGTGTGGGGAGGTCGTAAGAAGTTTTTTTATAAATAAGCGAAGAAGAGTTTTAGTCATTGTAATAGGGCTTTGAAACAGTCGGACGAATTATATAACGTTTTTTGATAATGTTTGAATTACGTTGTCCAGCTTTTCGCTCTGTCACTGCGTGGTATATTAATTGTTTGATATGCAGCTTCGAAAAGGTTTTTAACAGTATTGCTTTCAGGGGTTTTGTTCCCGAGAGGCTTTTGAATAAAGTCTTTGGTTTTAATAGTGGGTAAAGCATGGAAGAGTATAATCGCGAGCCTTGGTAACTATTTACTTCGCAAAATGTAGTGATGCTTGGCGAAGGAGTTTTAAATTTTTTTTATTTTGCAGCCCTTACCGAATCTTCGATGATATTGGCAGCGCTTACGCAATGGGTCTTGCTGGGGGGTCAGTATTCCATGCATGGAACGGATTTAGAAATGCAGCTGCGAGACAAAAGCTGAAAGGACTGTTACGAGAGGTCATAGATTTCTTGCTTTTAGTTTATGAAATTTTCTTATTGAAATACTGATGTCCTTTGGTTCAGTTTTTTTAACTTTACTGCGGACATTCTAACTTAAAACTTTTCGGGAGTTATTTTTTTTTTTGACAGTTCAGGTTCGGATGCGCGGGCCATTAACAGGTGTTCAGTTTGCTGCGTGGGGTGGGATGTTTAGTACCATCGATTGTGGTCTAGTAGCAATAAGAAGGAAGGTTTGTCATTACCATTAACAAATTACAGCTTCCTTGCGCAGTCATGTTTAATTGCAGTTGTATGATGTTTTTTGACGCACTAACTTTTACGGAAAAAGCTTTCACTTTATTTTCCAGTTTATCCAGAAGTTAGTTTTTTGCTATATGATAATTAAGTCCGTAATTTGCATGATTCTTTTGACAGTTTCAATTTTTTCAGGAAGACCCACTGAATTCAATAGTGTCTGGCGGTCTCACTGGTGCCTTGCTCGCTATCCGTTCCGGCCCAAAAGTATGTTATGTTTGAAGATTACATTGAAAAGTTACTGTTTTTTATAATTTTGCATGGATTTTTATTTCATTATTGTGAACTGTTTAGGTTATGATGGGTTCTGCAATGCTGGGAGCAGTTATTTTAGCAATGATTGAAGGTGTTGGGTTACTGACTTCAAGATGGATGAGTGCAATGGTAGACCCTACTGCCCAGGTTCAAGAACTTGAAGACCCAGCTAATTTGCCGGCAAAACAGAAGCAGAAAACCAGCACTATTACTGGTGGTGTAGAGCCTTCTGCAAATGTAGCGCCATTTGGAATCCCTGCTATGCATATGTGAAGAAACAAGTGCTGTCTAGTTATGGGTAGATTTTTTTGAACTCGTATGTTGAAAACTTCTTTCTTTTTTCCGATTAGGTTTGTTGCGGCTGTGGTGATATCTTAATGCTTTTATGACTACTGTTCATTGTTTACCCCCTATTGTTCATAGGTCTCCCGAACTTTAGGTTTATAGTTTTGGTTGAATTAGTGATGGGGGACCTTTTAAAGCTTATCGCGCTATAGCTTCCGGTGTTCTAGAAATTGTTTAGCTGATGCTGGTGCACACCCAGATGAACTGATGTTTTGCGCCCATGTTCTCGAAATTCGTATTTCTTTCTAATGCGACGTCTAGCTCATAAATAATGCTTGAGTCCCTCAGAGCCTTTGGTCTGTTGCGTTTTCTCTTCTTGGTTTGATCTCGCATCCTGACAGATTAATAATAAATCCAATTGTGTGGTCTGAAGTTGTACTGTTTACTCCTAACTATTTATTTCTTCTTATCAGCGACTCGCAGATGGACGTTAGTGCTTTCCACCAAAAATGGCGGGAATTCCCGAAGAAAGGCAAAGTTGTCATGGTCTATGATGTCTTTCGAAGCATTTTGCGTACTGTTGTAACAATTTATGCAACACGACTAACTACATTCATCAGTGCCAGTAAGTTGCCACAGAGAATACTTCCTAACTAAAGGTTTGCCACGAACGATACTACAATGTGAATACTTAGAAGAACTGGTTGCTGATTCATAGAGATTTCAAGGGATCTAGACGGCTTGAAACTTAGGCAAGAGGTTGTCGGTAAATTGCTGTTGAGAGGACTTATAAACCGAGCGAGGAGTGAAGCGTGGCATGCGGATATTTACAACAGCAGCGACGGATTTACAACAAATTTAGTGTCATAGTAAACAGAACAACTGTAATGGAGGGGAGGAGGGGGGAGTATTACTGTTTGTCCGGAAAATGGTTCCAGTCGGCAGCTAACAAAATAGTTTTCAGAGAGGAGAAGACAAGGGACCCTATTTAGATATGTTCAGACTTGAAATTTAAAGCTTCCTGTTCAAATAACTTTCATAATTTATGCAAAGTTTCGAAAGCAAAGCAACCGTCCTAAAGCACCCAATGGAAAGTTAACAGAAGACTTCAATGTATAAATCCACCACTCCTGATTTACTCCGGCACGCAATGACTTACATTTATGGCTTACAAACTCTTCAAGTCTACATTCATAAGTTGAAGGAGACGAGACATCACGGTTGTCGACATGCCAGTTCGCTCCCATAAGCGGTTGATTTTTGCCTTTGGATCACGGAGACGAAGTGAAGCATGAATAAGAACTAACAAAGTTGGCATCAAAATAATGAACAACACGACACAAACAGATGTCAAAACATAAATAAAGTAATACAAAGCAACCAAAATCGAAATAAGCGTCAAGAGAGGATGGTCGCTCCGAATCTAAAAATGACAAAACATGAAAAAACGAAAGAATCTTTTTCACTACGATAGGGCTAAGCTGTTGAAATTTGCGAATGAGGATGACTTTTGAAGTAGAAAAATAATCCCAATAAATCGATTTGATTAGAATACTGAAAAAAGTTCTCAGAAGGGGATCAATACTTCTTTATTCTCCTTTACTAAAGAATATATAAAAAAATATCAGAATAAAAGTAAATAAATTAGAGCAAAAGAATCTGATTCTCACTGCCAACCAACTATAAATACATCAAGAAACCCTTGGAATGAAACAATTAAAATGAACTTCAATTTGACCATTACTGCAAAAAAGGTAGCTGTTCACTACAGTTAACTCGCGAGAGCCAGAAGCTAACTCTAATGACAGGGAAAAACTTGGTTTACCTGTTCAAGGGATGGATTCTTTGAAATTGAGAGGAACAAGGCTGCTATGAGAGTAACCAATGCACTTAACCCAAATAGAACATGAGGGGCTTGAACTGCGCATGATACCAGGATAACGGCTATCATTATCACGAAATAATTTGTTTGAAAGTACAACAAATTGGTTAGAATCCGATTATTCCATTTCGGAAAATTGGTAAACGTTGGTAACTAAAAAAAG